AGCAGTTCCAGGCTGAACCTTAACCTTGAGAAAATCACCGGTGTGCTGCAGCTCACAAGGTCCCCCTCCACGCTGCATCCTCCCGCTCCCAAGCCTGCACTGCTGCCTCCAGGTGTGGTGGCTGCTGCTGCTTCATGCTCGTGTTGCTGGAAAGGAGCTGGTTCAGCCTGCTGGATGCAAATGACTGCCCAGGGTAGTTTTACATGACCCTTAGTATCCAGCAAAAGCTTATCTGGTATAGTTTCTCTGTGGATGAATCCCAACTGGTGAACAACAGCTATGGCCAGCATGGTTTTCTGATAAGGTGTCTTGTTTCATTAGTAAGGTCATCATGTCACCTCCAAGAACTCTATGATGAGGTAAAGATTTCCTTTAGCCTGAAAACTGTAAAACATTTTCACTGCCTAGATTCCATCTGCTCCACCAAAATGCCTGCATGTTGGGTTATGAGGCATCTGCTCTCACTCAGCTGCCTGTGTCTTGCTCCTAATCCCAAGATCACTGTGCAGAGGCACCTGGCTAGTCTCATGCAGAGCTCATCTGGATCCAAAAAACCTTGAGCACTTAAACTCCTTGGTGTGCCTAATCTCTAATGTGCTTGTGCCTCCCTCAGGAGGTACCCCTCGCTCTTATTCACCCTTTACAGGACAACCACAAGGTTAGAGTCGTCGCCTGGGGTGTGGGAGAGACTGGACTCTGTTCTCTTCTCTACCTCAGGGACTTCATGTCAAAATTGACAAATCAAAATTCTCAGCTAAGAGAGCACTTTAGTTATAAGGGTACCAGCAGGGAGTCATGCAAATCATCCTGTTGAATCTGTTCCATTTTTCAGAGAAAACAGGCTAGAGATTCCCTGAGAAAAGGAGTGAATGCCTGAGCACCTGGGAGGTGGGGTCTTTGCCCCCCTTCTGCCCATATCTCTTTATGCATTTTACCCAGTAAGTATGTAATGTGAAATACTCACCAACCCGTGGCAGACTGCCTCCTTCCCACCAGCCTGGATCTGCCCAATATTTTTCTAATTGCTCTTATGGTCTTTAGTCTTACTTTTTTTGGTCTCCTGTCTTAAGAAAAGTACTGCCATTAGAAGAGGCAGCAAAGAGAATTGCTCTGTAATAACCTTGTGGTGTCCATGACCCTGGCAAGGCAGATGACTATCGATTGCTGAAGTATTTGATTACATTAGCTGAGGCATAGCAGCCACAGACTTTGTACTCTTTTCTCCCCTCACTTGCATCTTTGTGACCCCGCTAACAGGGGTTTAACTGAGGTTAGAAAATTAGCAGCCATGGAAGCAAACCAAAACACTTGTATATAGCCCAATATAAAAAAAGAAGAAATCCCTATCCAAAACTGTTCAAAGTGTTCATCTGTATGTCTTTTCTAACAAATTGGAAGCATGCTCAGGAGGTTATACTGGATCTTTTCAGCTGCATAATGCTAGGTCAACATTAGAAAGTGGCATTGCTCCGCAGAGTCCTCTGAAGACGTGCTGATATACTGCTCTTGTTACAGGAGTTCAGAACCAGGCAGAAAGAGCTGGTTGCCTCTCTTGTTTTATACTTCTTTGCCACTGAATATCAATCTATAGGTTACGGGTCCAGCCATCCATTAAGAATTGCTACCCCAGCAACAGAGGAGGGATGGGGGGCTGAGTGGCGAGGGCTGCACTCCCGCAGGAGTTTGGGCAGGAGCCCCTGAGCCGCCCCTGTGGGACCCTCTGTACGGTCTGGCAACAGTGCTGGCTTCTGCCAATTTACAGTGACTCTGCAGTCAAGGCACTGGACTTGGTTGGGATGGATACGGACCCTCATGCCTGCCTCTTCTGTGGCTTGTTAGCCTGGGAATGGTCTCGCTGCCTCTGCTAGGAAATCTTTGAATTAGCTCTCCAGGAGGGCAATGCGAGGTGTACTAAAGCTGGCCATTTAAAAGTATGCAGATCTGTGTTGTTATTATTACAAGATAGTTGTGTTGCACGAACGTTTGGGAGTTCAGGCCATTCCTTAGTCATATCTGCCCTAGCAGGAGTATATCTCTTTTCCATTGGACTTGGATTTATGAAGATTTCTTTGAAAAAGAAACTTTGTACTTTGCATATCGGAGTAAATAATTTCTAAAGCAAAGTTGTTCATCATGTGCATCAATATGTATTACAAATTAAAAAAATAGTTATTTTAATTGCAAATAAACTTTTAAGAGCATCAGTTTAGATTATTTCCATTAGAAATTTGTAGGGATTTATGCAACTTGCAATGAAGCACTTTTTGTTCTAGAATGTCAACAGTTTTAGCATTGACTTCAAAGCCAAACATAAATTTGTAAATAGCAGTCCAGCCTGACAGAACTTCACAATTTTTATTTGCTTGCACTTCATCTTCTTGGTGCAAAACTGGCTGAAGGCTATAGACAAAACCTAACATATTTGTAGCATTTATCTGGTACATTCTGAACATTAAAGACTGATCTAATCCTCACTGAAAAAAACAATATGAAAAAGTATACATCAAACAGAAACTGAATCTTCTCCCTGTATGCCTGCTGCAATGAAAAATGTGGCATGGTTCCCCGTAGCTGAACTTCTGGTTAAAATGCTGAAGCCCCTATGAAGGGATTGAAGGACCAGATTAACCACACCAGTACCTTTCCTAATACCCTCTGTAGATCTGCCCATGTGGCAAGTACCCAGAAGGAATGAAAAACGAATATAACAAGGGGAAGATTTAGTAGTTGAGGGAAGAGTGGGTCTAGAGTCCCAGGAAAGAAAACAGGCATCTGCCCTAATGCACACACTGTCAGCATAGGGGGGAAGACTGGGTAATGAGGTTGGGCCAGGCCCTGAGAACAGAATTGCAGTAGACCAGGATTATTACACAGCAGGGGAAGGAGGAAGAAGTGCCAAGTAGTCAACGCAAACATGGAGATGCTGGCTTTTGTATCTCCTGTGCTGTCTCTGAGAGCATCGACACGTGGGAATAAAGCCAGTAGCCTCCCCACAATGTTCAGAACTTGATTTTAACCTGCGGGGTGAATCCTGTGGTGTTTTTACCTTCCCCTCAGTTCTCTACTGTTGGTATTCCTTGGGTAGCTGAAAGTCAGATCAGCTCTAGAAGCTACTGAATACTTCAGTTTCTCATAGACCAAGGAAGGTGAAAGAAAACATTAAACCACAGTCAGAGCAGTCTGGAACAGTCAGTTTGAAGGAGACAAGAGGATGTAAAAGGAGGCTTAATTTTCCAGGGAACCTAGAATTAGTTTAGCAGTCATCACCTTATCTTTCGTTATCTGCTGTTGTAATTCTGTGTTGAGTTCCTTTTCATCAAGGAAGGGTATTTGGCTTAAAGTATTGCATAGCCTTGCTACCCTCAAAAACTTGATTTAAGCAGGATTTGTTTAAGAAGGGGGGGAGTAGGTACTCTAATCGTAATAATATGTGCCAGGGTACATGTAATTATGATAATGTCAGGCTTTCATGTGCTCTCTGAGTCAGTGCTAACTTACATTGAATGTGCTATAATTTATATAAATCATACAAAAATGTAATTGACAGAAGTATGAAAACAAGCTGTACCTAAAGACTGGATACTTCCCTTACCAAGGGAACCAAAGTAATAGTTCAAAACCACTTGCATTATACATAATAGTGTAATACTATAGGTAGTGCAAACAGCAATGAATTGGTGTTCTCTGTTCTCCTTTGAAAATGAAAAAAGATTAAATAAAATTACAAAGACAACACACAGGTAATAAATAATCACACACTACAGAATCTTTTTATTTACGTTTGAATATTTAGCACAGTGGATAGTGAGAAGAGAAACACATACATAATTTAAAGCGGTTCTGGGACTCAGTCCAAAATTCCATGTTTAGGAAGAGCTCTATCAGCTAGACTGGATGACTTGCCAGAATGTGAAATTTGAAAATATCTAATAGTCCTGTATCTCGTGTTCTGTGATGAGGCTTACTTTTGAGTCAAGGACAAAAGGTCAGACCATAAATGCTTTGAAACATACAAAACCAGGATAACAACAATATTTTAAGTCTATTTGTTCTTTTCATTGGCAGATGATAAGAAAGCTATCTTTCAGCCTGAAGATGTTTCAGTAAAAAATGGACTTTTGTGACATCTATCCATCCATCATTTGCAGCAGAAAAGGACAGGGATGTTACAGAGAACCAAATTATATTATCCCTGGAACAATTGTTCTTATGGACATGCCACCACTAAAAGTGAAATGTGTGGGCATACTCCCCATGATAACTTTAATGGAATTAGACTAGGAAGACTTAAGGAGTATGACCGATGGAGGCTTATGGAAATACGGAGTTCAGAGAATGGTGCAAAATCCACTGGTGAATATATGGTGGCTATTTATTTATCTCCATATTGGCGTTTGAGCTGGCTAGTTTAAAGCTGGCTTAGGTGGCTTTGGCGTAAATCTTTGAGAATGTTAAGACATTAAAATGACAAACAGTCTGGAGATGCATTTGGTTCAGCCAATATCATTTATTTTAATACAGTTACAACTTTCTGAAAAGAAGTATATTACAATGAATATAATACAAGTTTTGCAGTTTCACTAGAACGTGAACATTTTTGTAGAATTTCTTCAAGTCGTTTTCTAGTTTTTCATAAAACCGTAAAGGTACTTCCCCAGGAAACTCTCCCCACCACAAACCTGCCTTTATATAACAAAAATTTTATTTCAGCTGTGAGCAGAACAACCATCCCCAACATTTCAATTATAAAAAAGAATAAGTTTTAACTGTAGTTTAATTTTGACAATCATTGTGAATTAGCTGATGAAATTCTAACTCTGGGAAAGGATTTCCTGACAGAAAAAAAAAAAAAAAAAAAAAAAAAAAAAAAAAAAAAAAAAAAAAAAAAAAACAAACAAGAACTACTGTACATGCACAATTCAGAATCTTAACTTGCATTTCAAAATGGTTGGTAAAAGGGGAAACATTTGTATCAACACAGTGCATAAACCCCACTGCACGCTGGTACCATAATGGTATCCATTATGCATTTTCCATTAGACTGATGAATTAGCATCTTCATATAGATTTTCCCCCAAGACTTGCAACGGTTCATTTGCATACATACATAAAATATATATAAAGAATATGTTATATAGTGTAGTTATATAGTACATAGTTTATATGTATAATGTAAAATATATATTCATAGACATTTCAGTCTATACCTGAAATCAATGTCATTGGCTGGTTGCAAAATGCCCAGTCCTGCACGGGATTGATCTAAAGAAGGACATTGCACATTACAGTCCACAAGCTCTATCTCAAAATATGAAAATATCAAAGCCAAAAACTGTTTAATTTCATGGACAGCAAATAACCTGCCAGGGCATTTTGCTATGCCTGTCCCAAATGGCATGTAGTAATACTTCAACTTGCGACCGTTGCGGTAGAAGTCAGTCTTTTCTTCTCCATTCTCACTGAGAAAGCGATCATATTTGAATGTCTGTAATAAAACACACAAAAGAGTTACTTGACATTTGAATACCTCCAAAGACTAGACAATGCCATTAAGACGCAAAATGCAGGCTGGGAAAGAAGAGCCTCTAGCAGTAAGCATTGTACAGTAGCACCAGGTCCCATGGTGCTGTTTTGGAGAGGGTAGCCCTGCGAAGCTCTGGTATGTGGGACATGATCCCAGGTTCTTTGCTGATAACTCTCCTTTTCTGACTTCTTAAAATAAGGATTATAACCAGCATCCTTGTTCATGCAGCAGAACTGGAAGATTTCTCGTTCTGTGCCTTTGGGAAAATATTATCTTTATCCTTGTCCTCCCTCGAACCCCCCCCTAATGGTGATCTTTCCTCACTGAGGAAGGCAGTAAGTAGAAGGCTCTCTTGAGCGGCAGCACTCTTTTTGGTTACACTAAAATCTGTTTTGCAGATAGTGCTTGCACTGACTTTATTCTTTTTGTTGCCTATCACTCTGTCTCCAGGTGTAAGAACAGACTGTCTGGAGTACAACAGAAAACCAGCTCTGGGGGCACCCCTGATAAATGCTCTATTTAAAGGCATATTAGCTTCTGCTAGAGCTCAGAGTTTAATGCACTTTGATAAATACTTACCAAGGGATCAGCATAGATTTCTGGATCAAAATGCAGCAGTTGAGGATAAAGAGCTACAATATCATCCCTGCGAATGTTGTAAAAATCATTCTCTAACTGCAAAGTGAAATCCTCCTTGGCAACTCGGAAAGTCATGGATGCACTCGATAGCCTCATTGCCTCCTTGATGACGCTGTCTATAAGGGAGAGGAAAAGGAACGATTACCGTGGAAATAGTATGTGTATGTCCTCGGGGGAGGTCATGCATTTTGAACTATTTCAAACCCATTATCACACCCTGCATTTATTAGAAGAAATATTTGAACAAGAACTTTCTAAATGCCTAAGAAAGTATCTTTCTCATTTCTTTTTAGCATTATTATCCCTTCTGCAGATAACACTGAGAACATAATCCACTTTTCCCTAGAAAAATACTTAAGAGTTGATGCAACAGAATATTTGAAAGTGAGACACGTTTTCACTCTGAGATAAAGAACAAACCAGTCAAAACTGGAAACAACAAAAAAAAGAAACAGTGCACTGATCATGATTGTCTGAAACTTCAAGAGGTGATGCATAGAAACCAGTACTCAGAAAAAGTAACTTGAGGGTTTTTTTTCATTTCAACATAAGCTGATTATATTTTTTTTAAAAAGCAACAGTAGTTAAAGGGTGACATTTTCAAAACTCTCTAGAACTTGGACACTTTTGAAAAATGTGCCTATAATTTGAAAAATATTAAGAAGAACTAAAAGTAATGGTATGAGAAGATATTGCTTCACATCATAAGAACTGGGATATAAAATCTGGCAACGCCCTTTTATGTGATCTAAAGTCATTACTAAGAAAAATATTGTTCTGAATTATCCATGGGTCTCCAATACTATGTTATGTAGGTGTGTAGCAGTACTGAGACATGCTATTACCCACAAAAAAGTGCTATGCATGTGAATTTTGATACTCTCAGTACCACCTGGGACACTGGGAAGACTGATGCTGTTGGCTATTGCTAAGGAACATACAGGGTTTTGTTCTAGTGTGTGTTGGCTAATTCCCTAGTAATTCCTTAGCAAGCCTTTATGTGGTAACAAACAGAAGACTGTGAAAATTGTGGGATGATTTCTGGTACTCCTGCATACAATAATCATACCTAGTATTGGCATATTATCCAGCTGTTTTCGGTTCAAGGAAATATGTTTGCCATCTAAGCTGATCTTCTCTCCAGCACTTTCCAAAGTACTTTGCACTTCTTTGATAGCAGCTCTCATTGCTTCTGGACTCCTAAGATCAAAAAAGCAGAAGTAGAACATAATTTTACACTTAAGAATGCTTTCAAAAGGGAGTTTGCCATTAACTTTCTTCCTGACTAAAATTTAGTTTATTAGCTGACAAGTACAACCTTCTAAAATGAAAATGTTGCAGCAAAATGCTGCAGTTAGTTACACTTTTTCATGTCTTGGCAAAGGTACGATAGCTTCAGAAAAATGGAAAAGACCCCCAAGTATTTGATTCTGTCTCCAGTGACAAGTGGGACGGAACTAATGTGCATAACCCAGGTAATAAACAGTAATGTCACTAAAAAGCAATGCCAAGAATAAGAAATAAAACAATCAGTTGTAGATTAGGAAATAGCCCCACTGTGGCTAGAAAGTTTAGGAACAGGATCATAGATCAGTTTTATAACATCACGTATCCTGGATGATGTCCTATTACGTGGCAATATTCTGTCTAGCTGAAAAGAATCTTCCTAATACTAAAAGTCCACATAGAATCCTTCACTGTCTAGACTTTCTTACAGACACAGAATATATGAGCTATGGTGAAATACGTATAGATAATAATACAGGATGCAATAGTGTCTTGATAAAGGCACAATCAATCAGGGTATTAAAAGACTCCAAGGCCAGAGGACATAAAGCCAATGCATTCCTGGAATGAAAAGTACTAAAGAACCTCAGATATTAGCATTGGCAGGTAGATATGAGGGTGCAAGACACTGGCTAAATAAAAACGTCAGCAATTTAGATACAAATTATAATAATAGAGTTAGTCATGCTGAGGTAGATTATACTCCACAGAGGCCCACTCTAAAATGGATATTTAATAGTATTATCTGAGCTGTGCACTCCTCTCATGAGTAACAAGCTCAGCAGCTGCAGTCTCCACTGCAGCCTCAGTAGGATCTATCAACGTATAAACTATTTTGTCTTAAGTATCTGTGAAAACAATAATGAAGCTAAAGCTCATTTTGCCTGCTCTAGTGAGATGATCTAAAAATGTCTGATTATATTGGGAGCCTTCAATACAATTAATGTTCTGACTGCAACCAGCACTTTTAATGTCATATCATACAGATTTACTCCAAAGCTTTCTTGACAAAGTGTAACATTGCCCTGGAGTGTTGTTTTTGGTTTTTTTTTAAGTTTCTACAGAATTGCTCTGTGGTATCACTACTTTGTCTCAGGTGACCGAAGGGGGTTGCTGTGGAAGTCCAGAACAACATGCCACGTCTGTTGTAATCAGTAAGCTTTTTTGACACTGATGAGGTATCAAGCAGTGGAATTTGCCTGTATTAATGAACTGATTTCTGAAGGATAACAAATGTTTTTCTTGTTTGGAAACAAGAAGCATCGGGACTTACTTAAGAAGATAGAACAAGCTCCAAAACGTGGCAGGAATGGTGTTGGCTTGCGAGGCCCAGAGCACTGCCACGTGGGTCTTTGCTTTTTCCATGTCATCGAAGGTTGACAGAGTGTCATTCAGGAACATGCGGAGGGTGACAAGCTCAGAGAGGTTGTCCCTCTTCAGGAGGTTCTTGTGGAGGAGTGCCTCTCCCAGCTTCTCACGTGCGCTGTGGGCACTCTTGAAGAGGTGGATAGGCAGCCCTGCCACGAGGGCTGGAAAGATCCTGTCAAACTCCTTGAAGTTTTCGAGGGCATTGAGGATATGAGCTCTTTCAGTTTCCTGCTTTGATGATAGATTTTTGTCGTGATTTGAATTAAATTCTTTACCAAAAAGTGTTAAAAAGCCAGACTCGAACATCACCTGGCAACAGAACGTATAAAGTCCTTCTGTCACCCAGGCATTGGACCGAAGTTTGGATGTTCTTGACTGCAGCATGACGTATTGTAGGTTTTCCATCATTGCTTCAATGAGGGCATCTAGGGCATTACCTTGAAGGGTTCTAATGAAAGTCTGATGAAAATTTTCAGTGGTGTTTCCCTCCGCTGGGTCAATGCTACCATGCCCAAAAGCCTGCCACAAAATAAATCGTATGCATGATAAATAAGGCCTGCCATAACCTTGATGATAAAGTCTAACAGAAATTAAAACCAAAGTATAACTTCATAGCTTACTAGAGGGAAGCATAATAAGAGCTATTAAAACTAGAACTGATACTTTCTCAGTGAACCATAGCAGTTAAGTAGGCAAATGAAAATAGATTTGAATAGATGGTTACAAATAAATGGGTGTGGTTACCTAGACCATCATTCACCTCCCATTGACATCAACAGGAGACTTTTTGCTTATGAGTTTGACTGAGCTCCTGCTGTGTTGCATCATTTTTTTAAGGCATTAGGACCAAATCTTCCATAGTGGTGAGCACCTCCTGAAGAAGGTTTCAGCAAGCTGTATTATCATTTTGCAGATGGCGCTAATTGTATTTCTACTTTAGCAATTTGGGGTACTACATGATTAAATAATGTCATTCTCAGACAATCCAAATCACTGAACATTTCCTTTCCATTAAGGAAAGGGAAAAAAAGACCCCAATATTTTAAACCAACAGAAGTGCAGAGATGTGAACCCAATGATATTTCAAAGGCATAGTTATGCTATAGGGATTATTAACTGGGTTCATCTGTCTTGCCAGCAGATACTTTGCATGTTAGATATTAAAACCATTTTTAAAGTGGTACCTTGGCAGACGTAGCAAAATGGAACTTTTTCCAGTCCAAGTGTTTTCCCTGGCGTATCAATGCATGGTATGAAAAAGGGTCAGTGAGGAAATGAATGTATTTCCCTGCTACTCGGCAAGTGAAAATGTGGCCATGCTTCTTCTGCTTTTCTCTGATGAATTCAAGGGGGTTGGCACCGAACTGCAAGGCGCAGCCCAGGTATGGGAGGAACCCGTTTTCAAGTGGTGGCTCACCTCGTCGCCTACAAAACACAAACAAAAGCTGAATTTAGAAGTATGTATAAAGATCTCTCCTCCAGGACTACGAGGTAAGTAAAATGCTGATGGTAGGCTTTTTGTAATGTGAAAAAATGTAAAAAACCCACCCAAACAAATTGTATATTGACAAAGAATTTTCTCCCCTTTAAGGAGTAAGCCTATAGTGAGGTCTATGGCATACAAGAAAGAATAACAGCCTGTATTATAATAAACATAATAAAACACAGTTTGATTATGTCATTTTTCTTTTCCCTAGATCAGGAGTATATTTTTCACTTGTTTAAATGTAACATTTTTGCCACTAGCTAACATGCAGTTACATAATTGCCCTATAAATGAATAATCCATCCCACTAATATTGTCTGATACATTTTTGGGCAACAGTATTCACAATTCAATTTGAATACCAAGGCGAATAGCCTTTTGAGTGTAGAAAGGTTATTATTGGCATATTTCATTTGGACCAGATACAACTGAAAACAGTGGGAATTTTGCCATGATCTTCAGTAAGCATAAGAGTTAGTCTTTCAGGCATAGTGCCATTAAGCACATGCTTTAAGTTAAGCATGTGCTTAAAGTGAGCCATATGCTTAAATGATATTTTTTATTCTCAGTCAGAAAACTACTTTCCTGCATAAGGATACCATGGCTGCTAAAATAACTTTCTGATAATACTTTAGCTTTTCTAGTGAATTCCTGGTGGTTATTATCTGAAGTTAACTATTTTTCACCTTTTTTATTAAACTTTTTAAAGTAAAACAAGAAGATGACTGCTGGAAAATACAAAATTACAATAAGTAAGCAAATTACTTGCTCCTTATGTAAATGTGCCAGTAGCATAAATGCTTTTAAGGACCATGTATTCAACACAGTAAGGTACATAAATATTATCTATATTAATCTGTGTAACTGGACACAGACTGATAATATGAAAATTTTTGTAAGTAGGTATTAAACTATAATTAGATATAAGTAGGTATTAGCTGTGATTACAATGCAGGTAAAACTATAGCCCAGTACTTTAGGAAATCAGAACATGCATATTCATATTTTAATTACCTCATTTATGCATAGATTTGTATCTACAGCTATTACTAGGCATTACCTCACTATTATTAAAAAGCCCGTACACAAAATTTCTATTGTAAAATAAATCTCAAGACAAAACTACAGTGTTGCCCATGCTCTCCTGCATCTGTCCATCTGATAGTCTTAAGATAACACTTCTTTTAGTTATGTACACAGTGTATTTGACAGAAATAAAGGCTAGGTTCACTGAGATGCATTTACAAATATATTCCTTACCTCCTCCTCCTCCCTAGAAGAAACCAAAGCCCACAACAGAGCATTATCACTGTTCCCCAGACCCATGGTGCTGTGAACATTTCTGGTAATGCCCAAAAACTTCCAAGTGGAAAACTGGTAACTACCAGTATGGCAGGAGAGGTGACTGAGAATGATACAGAAGACAGGTCATGATATATATACAGTAGGTGCACCACTGTATCTAATGGCATTCAGTCAACCTAGCAAGCTATTGATTAACCATTTCTGGAGAGAGCCTGTTTTGTCTCTGTTCTGACATCTTTCTGCAGAGAGCTTTGCAGGATTGATGTAGACAGTTGCAGACATAGCCTTGAGCTGATGTCACATATCAGTAGCAGGTCCAAAGTAATTAAACAACTGTAATAGTTGACAATTTGAAGGTCTGCCAGGTGCTTTTAGATCTATCCTGCAGATTTGCCAATTGCAGTTTATAGTTCAAGTTTAGCAATATAAGAAATGGCTACTGACAGATGTCCAGAGGATTCAGACTGGGCGAAATGGTGGCTGCATTTCATGTTGTCCTTTAGGTGCCAGGCTGCTCATCCCCTCCCTTCTTCTTCTTGTGGGACTGCCCTGGCTCTGGTGTGCCACTGCAAGAGGGAACAGTGGGGGGTTTGGCTGCAGGTAAAGGGATGGCTGCAGTGATGGACTTACTCTTTCTAACAATGTTTCTCTGGTAGAAAGGGAAAAATGGGCTTTCTATAATGCAATGTATAAGAGAAGAAAGCAGGATTAGACAACCATACTGTTTTTTTTTTCCAATGTCCTTGGATCACCTTTTACTCTCCCATTTAAATCTTCCACTTTCTGCCTTTGCTCCAAGCTGTACAGCACCTATTCAGTCAACTTTGCAGCCTTGGAATATGGTCTCTGGTCCTGTGTCAGGAAAACTCTGAAAAATGTATTGAATTTTCAGCACCTAGAGGACCTAACTCCTTTTTTTTCCCTCTAATTCAGTCCTTTCTCCTTAAATATATCCCTATGTACCCATTTTCTCTTATCATCCACATTGAGTTCTGCCATGCCCTGTCCATACACAGCTAAGTCCTTTCTAATGTGCTCTGTAGGCATATTCCTAGCCCTGAAGAGGTGCCACTTCAAGTATAAGTAAGTGCTGCAGAGTGGCCAGGAGAACAACAGGAGAGACAAATACTGCTAATTCAGGGGGAAAATGATCTAGACGGGAGAAGGAAGGAAAGGAGTAAAGAAGACCTGTGTGGGCGAGAGGATTGGGTTAAGTGGAAGACGAACTGCAAAGGGCCAAATGGGAGATTGGAACAAAAAGTATACTAGCTGTGGGCAGGAGATAATCCAGGCATAAAGTAACTGCAGGAGGTATTGCAGCTGCCCAAAGGTCAGTGCTGGGAGTGCTCCTGGACATGCTCCTGTTTGGCAGAGAGTATAACAAGCTTCTCCTTGCTGTTTTCCCTCAAGACTAAGCTGTGGGGAGTAGGAGAGCACTTTTGGTGCTCAGAAGAGGGAAAAGGGTAATCTGGGATGAATTCAGTACTCATTAAATAGATATCCCCTCTTGTGTTTCAATTAAAGACTTCAAGAAAAGTTAAGGAAAACATCATGAGGGTTATGCTGCTTCTTGTTTGAAATGAAGAAGTACCATGACTAACTTGCATAGTGAAGGTTGTTGGATGGCCGTTGAAAAAAAAGGGAATGGCAATGTTATTTCTCTTCTGATGCTAGTTTAATCACTTAAGATTAAACCTTCTTCCCTTTCTGTTTCTAACTGGAGAGACTTCAAACTTTGGCTTGCCCCTAGCATCTGGCATTAAGCCATTGAGGAGGCAGCTCAGATAGCATATAGTGATGTCTCATTAGTCGTTCAGGCCTAATATGTTACTAAGAGAGAAACTGATGGGTTTTAGTCACATTTTCAGGCTCACTTTTGTACCAGTTTTTGCTGGTGTCCCTACAGCTGTATGATAAAACAGTAAAGATCTGGACTTTTCACCAAAGTCTGCCACTTCAAGCACTACACTGAAGGCATTGAGCTGCAAATCTGGTAGATGGGAATATTGTCCTGGCTTCAAACCAACGAAGGCAGTGAGGTATGGGATAGCTCTGTGCACATGCCATTACATTTGAGGAAATTTTTAAGTTTCTATACTGAAGAATAAGCTTTTTACGGCATTGGCATTTGCCCTCACTTAATCTAATAGCCAGCTCCTTTTGTGTGTCAGCTCAATATCCAGTCCCCCACCCCATTTCCATTTAAGCACAGGTATTTCTCATATTTTCCTAGAAAAACTACTTTTTCATCAGCTGAATTTAACCCGTTATAACAGAATTGCTTCATAAAATCCATGCTTTCCCATTTCCTGCTTGTTCCCATTACAGGAAATTTCAGTTCTGGGTGTCATCTTTGACTACCTCCTATCTTCATCCTAAATAAGTGTGATCATTTAACTATGCTTGTGCCTAATTCTTATTGCATCTGTAGATCTCAGCCTTTTTATGTCCAAACAACACTGAATGAGAAACTTGAAAGCTTCTGTCCGTTTTGTATCTAATACACAGGAATAACGTTTAACGAGCAACAGATACCTGTGGCTCCTCACACTATCATGTGTTGCATCAGGTAAAGCTGCCAGTCACACTTGCTTTTTCCTTACATGCTTTGGGTAGTTTTGCTGCAATGTGATGATAACATCATTCATAAACAGCATCCTGCTGCCACAACAGGAGTAACTTCTCTAAAGCTGCCCACCTTCTTTCTCTTTTTGATTTGTATATATGTAATAGTACTAAAAGTGAAACCAGAAGTAGGCAGAGAACAGAAGCTGCTTGGCAGCCTACCTTAAATAATTGCTCTTTCTGTCAGGAAAATCAAATGTGCCCCCTCTTTTCCATTTAAGTGACCTTTATGTGGCAGCACCCTTGATAAATAACTATTATGACAGAATAGAGTCACTCTCACATAGTTTGAGATGCTTCCTAGTCGTAGATCATCTCCCACCTAGTTTCTTAAATAGGCCAATCTATAGCCCCAAGGCCAGCCAGTACTATAGTAGGCTGGAGCCTGTGACATATGTCCCTGTGATAACTGTGAGCAGGAGCAGTGTCTGCCACAGATACTCCCCCAAATTCAGCAAATGAGAAGTATGAGTCTCCTTTCATTTACATCAGTGGGCATTAGGCTTCCCTGATTTTTCAGCAGCACCAGTTGGGTGCCCTGACTTTCTGGATATTGGCATTCTTCAGTTCCAGACAGAGAGAGACATGACATCTGGCTGGGTCCCATTTCCCACTGCCAAAGCCCAGGCAGCTGTCACCAATCTGAGCAGCAGGGCTTGAAGGCACCATGTTGTCCCACTGATGGACAGATATTACATTTTCTGCAGCACATTGTGTGTTGTGTATGAGGTTGGCTTTCTTGCCCCAGCCCAGAAGAGAAACCCATAGAAGTTATGGATGCAGTCAGAAAAAACACACTCATTTGTTTTGCCTTGGCTTTGTGAAGCAGACTCCTGGCATAAATGGTAAGAAGAATATTAGTGCAAAGAACTGACATGACTTGGGCTAAAGACTCACCTCAGGCCAATGACACCAGCAGGAA